TAAAAATCTGTGTAGGCCTTTCTGGTCTGTGTATTTATATTGTGTTCTCCATCCCTCCACCTCATTTTGACTTTCACCTAATTTTTTCCCCGTGTTCTTATATAAAATTTTTTCCTACTTATGTGTTTTAATTGTAAGATGTCTCATCTTTTGTGGACTGAGACTGTATATAAGTAAATAAAATACATTCAGTGTTCCTTTCACCAAATCTGGCTAGATAAATATATAAAAATACTTGTACACAAATAAATAGCAACAGTTAGCAACTTACAATTAGGTTGTGTTTCCAATTATTTTTTTGCTAAGATTAGCTTTTAACCTGAAATGTTTTCTGATAGAAACAGACAAGGTAGTCTCTCAGAGCACAAGCTCTTATTTAACATAAAATAGAGCTATGAAACTTTAAAGTAGACAGTGACTGCCATTTGCAACTTAGAGTTAGAAAGAAAATAGGTTTGCGTTACAATGGAGGAAGTGAAGAATACATCCATGGCATGAACTTTCCACTGATACCATCAGGAACTCTAGTGATAACTGCTGTCTAGCAGTGTATTGTGATTCAGGGCTCCTGACCCTTGTAAGGGGCTCCAGGTCTGAGGCGATGATTGAAACCTGACAAGACCTCTGTTCAGCCATGGTGGCAGGTCCTTTGAGCATTCATGATGATGCCAGGTAAAGGGCCTGGGGCTTTGGGAGGATGGCAGCCCAAGTCTATGCTTCCAGGTGTGAAGGAGGGGTTTCAAAGTAGGAGAACAACTGGAAAAGAGAGGTGGGGCAGGGGCAGAAGCCTCTTTTCTCCCATCATTTTTGACACCCTGCAGAGGGTTCCCTTTGCTCAGATTCTATTTGCTCAAGCCTACTTGGAGATTACTGAACGGGAGTTAACCTGTGACCTCAGGTTTTCTCATCTAGTCAGCTGCTTAGTCATTGGGCTTTTCCTCTGTCCCCCCCCCCACTACCCCAAGGTCAATTATTTGCCACTTAGTCATTAACTCCCTAGCTGTGATTTTCCCCTTCAACATACTTTACATTCAATACATTCTAATAAAGTACATGGGATTTTTTGGAAATGTTCATCTCTGGTTTCATTTCCTTTAAAATGTAGGTTATTTTCTTTATCTGTCTTGGTTTTTGGGTCAGTTGCTTTGTCTACTGAGAGGGTCACTTTCTGTAGACATAATATGAATTTAATCTGCTAGATTAGAGAGACCAGCAAGAAAGGAAAAGCCTCTACCTTGAATTTTAGCATAAGTTACTTTGATAAAAGGATTAAAAAAAAATTCCCTTTCAACCATAGAACTCCTCTACTGGAAAGGAATCTGAAAGAAATGAAGAAAACCATCAGAAATGAATTCAGTAGCCTCACGGCCTGTCGACTGGACTAGACTATTCTTACTGCTGTTCCTTGGGTTGACACTGTACAGGATGTCTGCGGAGGTCTTCCATCAGGTCGAAGAATCACTTGACGAAGAAGAGAAGGAGATGCTTCTTTTTTTGTGCCGGGATGTTGCTGCAAATGTGGTTCCACGTAATGTCAGGGACCTTCTGGATATTTTAAGAGAGTCAGGAAAGCTGTCTTCTGTGAGCCTGGCTGAGCTGCTCTACAGAGTAAGGCGGTTTGACTTGCTCAAGAAGATCCTGAAGATGGACAGACAGACAGTGGAGACCCTCCTGCTCGGGCACCCTCATCTTATTTCGGACTATAGGTAATTCATCAGTGAATACAGCAATAGCACAGGAAGGTTATAATAATATTCTTGTAGAATTTCTTATAAAATTTTATGTCCAGGACATTAGTACATGCAGAATTGATGTGTCAATGGTGATAGTTAATTTATCAGTGCTTCTTGAGGCTGGACTGGTGGGAGGGAAGGAGGAGGTCCAGACTTCAGAACCATAGAAATGAGAACAGTAAGAAAAGCAGCCTCTTTACTTTCTCTACCCATTGATCCAGATGCTGTGTGGTATTTCTTCATTCCTCTGAACTCTTTGAATTCTTACGACCTATTAGCTTAAAGTAGTTGGGTAGAGGATCAGAATGAAAGTGAAAGAGGTGGATGGTGTGTGTTTGCCTCGTGGGTGGAATGCGAGTGAGAAGAAAACCCAAGAGTTAGCACTGTGGCAGGCCTCTGATCATGAGAGCTGTGTGTTCTCTGCTAGAATGACTTTCTGTGTTGTCAGACCCTGTCAATTTCTGGTGCTGAGAAAGGAAATAATAAGTCTGACAGTAATCTTCCTGAGGTTTGTAGAGCTCTGTGGTCCCTCTCAAGTCCTCCTCAGTCTTTCCCTTGCTGAAGAAGTTAGTGGGGTGAGCTCTGTTTCTGTGAGGTTCCTGCTTCCGAAGGCTCTGGGAAGCCCAAATTGACCACGTGCAGGCCCCCTTTGGTTCAGAGAGGAATGGCTGCTGGAGTCCCCTAGAGTTCAGGAAGCCTTGAGCGCCTTCCTCCTGTTCACACAGTACTTTCTCGGAAGCTCAGAGGAACACGGAAGCCACCAGAAAGGCTGCGTTTCTGGGAAAGAAAGATAACTTGTAACCTTAAATTAGCAGTTCCCTTTTCTCCAGGCCACCAGCCTTTAGTTATATCGATAGTATGTATTTGGAGATGACGTGCACGATTGAAGACTATATAAAAGAAAGTTGAAAGCAGCGTGAGCCTTGGAAGGTGTCTGAGACTGGAGATCCAAAGGCTCATCTGCAGTTCCAGGTGACATAGGCTGAGCCAGCCACTGACGTCAGTCGAGTCTTTGTTTTCCTACTTGTAAAGCTAAGAAGAATAATACCTGATTTCACAAGTGTGTTTGTGAGGATTGCCTGTGATACTTTAGTATGTGAAGTACTTCTTAAAACTGGGAAGCACTCTGCAAACGCAAGGGTTTATTATTGTGGTAGCTGTAATTTTTGCTCACCTTCCATTTCTCCAACCATCAGATGATGTCCGTAATCTTTAAACTTTCTGGGAGGCACTGACTGGGTTTTTGTAAGTTAGGGGACTCTCTCCATTTCCCGTTTCCTTGCAATGGTGAATGGAGGCGGAGAGGCCCAGGAGTGTTAGACTCATTTATTCGTCTGGCCAGTGGGCTTTCTTGTGGGTTGACATGTGCCCAGGAGTTTGGTGAGCGCTAGAGCAAAACAAACAAAGAATCTTCCATCCTCAAGAATCTGGGAAAATGGGCTTCTAAGCAATGATGGCAGTGTCAAGGTAGTAATGACAATTGAGGTGTCCTTGGGAGCCCCAATAAAGAGTGATGGTAACTCTTAACTAGAGCAGAGGTGGTTAAGTCAGGAGGGACTTTCTAGACAAAGACGTTGACAGTCAGTGACTAGGATCCCCATGGCTTTTACCCTGTGAGTTTGGGAGCGGGCCAGGAGAGCCCAGGGGTTACTTTGCTTCAGAACCTTGTGACTTCAAGTCTTGTCCCTAGATCAGCAGCATCCGCATCACGTGGGAGCTTGTTAAACAGAGACAAGATCACTTTGAATTCTATTTCTTTCATCTTAGTCATTTAGGTTCTTCATTTATTTCATCATAACTTCTGAGGGAGCTAGGGGATTCTTTGGGGAAGTTTTTATTCTCTTGTTCTTTTTATAGCAGTTGGAGAAAGAGGTGCCATCTCCTATTGAAAACTGGCGAAAGCATAAATTTCCTTTTTGAGCTCCCTTCACATCTCCTCCTGGGGTGATCTGAGCTTTCTGTTTCCTGGGGGGGGGGCACATTCACATGTGGGGGCCAGAATTAGTCTTTTAACCCGTTGCCGGCGTAGAGGTGGCTGAGGTGCTTGGTGTCCTCACTAGGACTGGTATCGGAGTTTACTAAAGCAACTTGTCTGGCTTACAGGGTGCTGATGTTGGAGATTGGTGAGGGTCTGGACAAATCTGATGTGTCCTCATTAATATTCCTCATGAGAGATTATATGGGCCGAGGCAAGATAGCCAAGGATAAGGTGAGTGTTCTTTCTTTATTTGGTTCCTATTCCTAAGAGCCTATCAGAAGCTGGGGGTGGTGCCCTCTGGAGTGTGAAGAGAGGGAAACAGGCACTTGAGCGGGATGGACCAGGTCAGGGTGGTAGGAGGTGGGAGGTTGGTGTGTGAAGGCGAGAAGGGAGAAGAGTGGGTTTTTTTCATAATGACATGAACGGGAACAAAATTGGTTCATGAATTGAGAGGCAATAGGGTGAGATCATCTGGTGTGGCCCTGAGTGTTCCTTTCATCCTTGTATTTTATCCTTTATTTGCATAAAATTCACGGGGCTGGCTTACACACCAGTTTCCCTCCCTGGTTGGACAGATCCTCTGGGAGAGTTAGGAAGTCGTGTCTGCTCATGCTGAGTAGAAACAGGTGGGAAGTGCTGGTCCACCCCCATCTTGCTCTCCTCCTGCCATCTACTCCTCAGCTAGCTTACCGTCCGCGTGGAGTCATTAGGCTGCATGTGGAGGTGGGCGGGGGAAGGTCCTTGGGACTGATGTATCCAGGGAATGGCAAAAGCAGAGATTTGGGGTTAAAAACGAGGACGAGGTGAGGATCTCAGGGATGTTGTGATTGCCTCTGGTACTGCTGACATGTGGACAGGCCAGGAAAAACTCGGGTCTCTAGTACGTGACAATATGTCCACCAAGGACCTGCCTCCAAGGACTCTGGTAAATCGTTGCTTGAGAATTCCTCATGTTCCTTTTTTTTTTTTTAATTCTTTTTTAAATTGAAGTATAGTCAGTTAACCATGTTGTGTCAGTTTTTGGTGTACAGCATAATAGTTCTGTCCCATATATCCCTCATGTTCCTTAATGATTGTTCTTTCATTTCTGAAGTCCGGGGACATAGGGTGACTATATGCCTCCATCATCAAATGCACAATGGGAAGGAAAATGAAAAAAATAGAACTCCTTTTCTGGAGTCCCCTAATCAGTTTATTTCCCACTCATTTCTAGAGATTTAATTATGATTATTAATTAAAAAAATAAAGATAGCACATTAGAAACCAAGTGTTAAACGGAAGGGAAATAAAACCAAAAGCAATGCCTATTTCTGAAATGGTTCTTTCACAATTTCTGTGGTCCTGGCCTTGTAATTTTGCCGCCTCATATCCCCTAAGTCAGAATGAGTTGGAATTTCCAGCATTGATGAAAATATTCTAAGAACTTCAAAACTGTATCATTGGAGTTTTTCTAGTAAAAACTTCTCCCCCAGCTACATTCTCTCTTCCTCTTTTCAGGAAAGCCCTTAGAGTTTTTCAGTGTAACAGCAGCCTGGCTTTTTGGAATACAATGAGCTTGGGAGGATTTTGTTTCCAGGCCTGCTGTCACTCCTTGATGACACAGAATAGCCCATGTGTCTATCACCTATCTCGGTCTAGGTTGGCCTCCCTGCCAAAGACTTACCTCTTTTCTGAGTGAAATCCAAGAGTGTAACTTGCTCATGGCCTTGAAAGGACTATAAAACTGAGAGGTCTGGGTTAGGGCACTGAAGGGGCTCCTCTGGTCGCATTTTCTTGCTGTTATAAGTTACACAGCCTGAGGTTCACATATGGGGCCTAATAATCAGCCCTCCTGACATTTGTTTCTTTCTGGTGGTTCTCTTAGAGTTTCTTGGATCTTGTGATTGAATTGGAGAAACTAAATCTGGTTGCTCCAGATCAGTTGGATTTATTAGAAAAATGCCTAAAGAACATCCACAGAATAGACCTGAAGACAAAAATCCAGAAATACAAGCAGTCTGGTAAGCAGCACTTTGGCCTCTCTGTGGCCTCAGGAAAGTACCTGTGCATAGTGGGTTTGGCTGGTAAAGATTCATGTGTTGGACGGCTGGATGGAACAGAACCTGAATGTCCACAGCCCCCACCAGCCTTCAGCTGAAGATCTAAACCCTTCATGTCCTTCATACCCCAGATCTGCTGACTTCATCACCCGCACCCGTGACTGCAGAGTCTTGGCCCTCTGCAAAATGCCACCAAGCAGTTGTTAAAATTCTGATCTTCAGGAAAGAGTCTGCATGCCCACTGCCTGCATGGGCTGACGGTGCTGTGGACATTCAGGGCTTTTGAGTCTATGCCGAGCCCCGCTGCCTTGCACCATTGTTTGGATGACCATCCAGCTCTGGGTGGTATCTTGTCACTGTGGGCCTGTAACTGCCCTGCGTATGTCCCAAGTTTCACAAAACCTCCTCATGGAAAAGGGCATCTTTTCTGCTGATAACTCCTCCTTCCATAAAGAGGACCAGCTTACATTGGCCTCGTTTGCGACACCCCTACCCTCAGTGTGTGTGTGTGTGTGTGTTTGTTTATTTATTTCTCTGAATGGAGTCACTGGAGATTGAACCCAGGATCTTGTGCACGCCAAGCACAGGCTCTACCACTGAGCTAGGACCCCCCCCCCCCCGTTGTCTTTTAGACTCAGTGTGGGCTCTGCTAGCAGTCTACTGCCACCAGAGAGCTGAAGAGTGTGTCTGATACCCAGTGATCAACACATAACTCCCCTCCCCCTCCCCCTCCCGAATGACTGATACAAGTTCCAGAGTACCATTTTCAGTCTATTAATGTCATTGGTAGAAGAATCATCTGATCTGATATTTTGACATCAGTAAGGTGGCTGGGAAGTTTCGGGTATTTTGAAAGATCATGACTGACCCTGAACTGAGTCATTGTTGAAGATTCCTTTGATGATAATTTGTAAATCTTAACTCAGTGCCTCTCTTCTTCTTGTAGCTCAGAGAGCGGAAACAAATTATGTAAATGCTCTCCAGGCATCTCTCCCAAACTTGAGTCTTAAGGATACTTCATATAACCTAAGGGTGAGTCTGGAGCGAATATGTGGAATCCCAGCATGAAACAATTTCAGAACTTGATAAAAATATACTTATTCATTGAGCATATACTTCATTTAATATGTACAAAAAATTGTGACAAATTTGCTTTTGTTTTAAAATATGTGTACCTTCTTATGAGACAATTTGGAAAATACAGAGAAAAAATTTAAAGGGAGGGAAATAAATCAATTCTATCCTATTACCCAAAGACAACTGCCATCATTGTCTTGGTATATTCCCTTCTTGTCTTTCCCTGAGAATCTGTTGTTAAGCATTACCTTCTCTGATCATCCAGATAGCTTATTGATATATAATATTAATGTTTGTTCTTTTCTTCTATATGGATGGTGTCACACTGTGCCCGTTGTTCTCATCCAAGAATTCTTAGAAATTGTTTCATATGAATCTTATGGAAATCTATTTACTCACTGTTTTTCATTGTTGAGCATGGTTTCACTTTCTAGATGTATTACTATGTATGTGTATTTTCATTGTTTCCAGTCTTTTGTTCATAAACCAGTGAAAAATAAATATCCTTATATTTATGTCTCTGTGCATTTGCTTTTCATTGAGCTTACTTTAATGAGTTCAGCAAAAGTGTTTTGTCCTTGAGTGATGTTATTGAGTGATTTGTGACCATAAATAACACTTAGTCACTTGTTGTGTTAGTGAACGATACAAGGTTATCATCAGAATTGTGCTTTGGTTAATTTTTTTATCTTGAGAAGTTAACTTTAGGGTAATCTCACCCTTATCCCCATATTAAAGATATATGGAATTTGTAGTCCAGCCTTAGACCACAGTTACTTGGAATCTGTAGTCAAGACTTTAGACCACAGTTTATAATTTGTACATTATAAGCACTCATAAAAGTATGTGATGAAAACATTAACTACATCTGTAATAAAAACAGTTTTTGGAGAATATAAACTGTAAGAGATACCACTGAGCAATAGACTTTCAGAACTAATATGGATGTTAAGCATTATACTGTCCAACCTCTTCATTAAATAAATAAGGATAGTTAGGTCTAAAGAACACTGTGATTGCCCACCTCAACTTCCCTGGGCCCAGTCCATACTCCTTTCTCTACACCATGGTGTATTTAATAAACTACGTACTATCATGTCATAGCTTAGATATATCTGTCTGTCATTTTTTCAAGAATTAAATATGCTTTTTTTGTCCTCCTGAATCTCTATGATACCAAATCATGAGACAAAGTGATTTAGGATTCAGATCCAGATTTTCTGCGCTTTCTCTGCTATTGTCTATCTAACATAAATTGTACTGTCATTGTTAGTCAAAAGCCTGCTGTGTTTTTATTATTGTCTTTCCATTTTGTTAATTAAAGTGATTGTATTCACTGTGTATGTAGCCTATTGGGAACCCACATGTTGTGTGTGTAGATTTTTCCTTCAGTTTGCTATTTTTATCTGTGACCCTTATCATTCATTCATTTAGTAAGCAGGCACTGTGGTATATGAATTCAGTGAATTTCTCATGAGATTTAGGAACTGAATACCTGGATATTAACTCATACAAGGCTGCAAAAAATGCTTTAAAAATTACAGTGGCATTAAATGTCATGTGATACCAACATTATAGAATAAAAAAGTTGTATGACTCTAATATAATGCTTTTTATATTTATCTGCAATAAATTCAGCTTTGATTTGATGTTATGTCTCTTCAATAGGCTGTAAATGTGAATGCACACCTATGTGGGATTCCAAATTCTATCTAATATCATTAGCTTCTGGTTAAGTCATTGATTTTTAGTGATAAAAGCAACTTACATGTTTTTCTTCAGTTTAGACGCACAGACTTAGCTGCAGACACAGCTTAATAAATAGTGTACTTCTCTCTTTTGGCTAGGATAGCTTCAGAGGAGAACTGTCATTTGAAAGCTGAGCGTATCAGATGGTTGACAGTGTGTGCTATGTGTACCTTACACAGGACCTGTCATCTGAGAAGAGAAAGGGTCTGTTCAATCTTTCATTCTCTGGTTCATTTCACTCTGGCCCTCAGAAGGGGTAGCTAATTTTCAAGAACCACACCCACATGGGGTTTATGTATAGCTGCATTATAGGAAAAAAACTGGACTTTGATTAAGCACTTCCACATGCTTAAAGGGCACTGTGCTGAGAGCTTTGTGTACATTTAATCTTCACAAAAAAATGTATCAAGTAGGTACTATTATTATCCTCATTTTGAAGATAAAGAAACACATAGAGTTAAAGAACTTGCTCAAAATTACCTAGCTAGTAAATGGCAGAATCAGGATATCTGATTAGCTAGGTTTGTCTGAGTTTGAACGCCCACTCCCACTCTTAACTATACTGTACGTTGCCTCCGTGTTAAAGGATCAGGTTGAATGTCAACTGCATGTTCCACAGCTTGTTTGAATTTGCAGCTGTTACAGTAGCTCCACTTTACCATAACATCGGGCTTTATTGAACTGTTTTGAAACATTCTAATATGCTAGTTTGGCATATTTACATGTTCACTGTATTGTCACTTTAAAAAAAACAAAAGAGTTGCTTCTCTGGCTGTAGAATATGGGATTTGTGGAGTTAATGGTTCTTGCTAGTCTTTTTTAGATAATTTAACAGTGAATATGATATTTCTATTTTTTCCTGGGTAAGAATCCTATGGAGATTTTTAAAGAGGTGTCATGTAATGGGCCTCTGAAAACACGAACGGGGAGTATGACCTTGTTTTTTATATTTGAAGCTCCAGAATGGGAGGAGTAAAGAACACAGACTCCTGATGGGACAACCTGACATTAAAAGTAAGACCAGCTTTGCTTTGTATTCATTCTTTTTTTAAAAAGACTTTTTTTTTTAAGGTTTGTTTATTTATTTATTTTGGGGTTTCTTTGTTTGTTTTTTACACAATAGGATTTTGTTTTCATTTATTTATTTTTAATGGAGGTACTGGGAATTGAACCCAGGACCTCATGCATGCTAAGCACACACTCTACTACTGAGCTATACCCTCCCCCCTCTTTGTATCACTCTTTATAAATCCTTGATAATTCAAATGCAAAAATGTTGCATTTTTAGAGTTGGCCATTTTTTAATCTGCGTATTTTAATTAAGCTCTCAAAAAAGTTAAAATCTTCAATGTATTCGTTGGCATTTCTAGTTACCTATCGAATTAGCCTATTTGAATTTAAAAGCCTCGTATTCCATCAGCTTCATCATCTTGGCTATATCTTTAAGAGCTATGACATTTACGCCTGAAATGGAATTATAACCAGGCCATGTGCAACATTAATCTAACCATGATAATGAGCTGTGTTAAACCAAATACCTAGCAGCAGGAAGAAGGAAGGTTACCAGGATCTTGTTTATAGCCCATTTAATAAATCTAAATGTGCCACAGATGCCATGCCCTACGCCTACAAGGAAAGAAAAACAACCCTAGTCATTTCAGCCATATGATCCCTCTTGTTGCTCTTAAAACATCAGCCCTTGATCCTGTCATTTTCAGAAAGTGTATTTTTTGCTTGAGTCCTCCTTGCAGTGAGGGCTGAGACACAGTCGCTCACTACAGTGGAGATGATTGTTCAAAACTCCTGGAGGCAGCAATGCACAGACAGGCAAGGAGGCCTCGGCCTTACCTGCGGAGCTTGGACTTTGTCCTGTGTGGAGGGGCGATCGTGAGCGTAGTGAGCAGGGCGCTGATGGAAGCCAGGCCCTTTGCCCACGTCTCATGACTCAGCCGACGTGCTCTCTGCGGGCCCCTGGAAACATTTCGCCCAGATCAGCCAGGTGGAGCAGCTCATGCCGGTCAACCCCTGCCTAGAAGTCCGCTTTCCAGCAAATGCCATTGAGAGGTGAATTAGTGCGTGAAGTGACAGCATGTTTCTTAAAATATGGGTGAGGTGGTGAGAATTAGCTGTTTAAAAGAAAAATGGGGGACCTGGTAGATTTTGGAGAGGAATTAAAATATCAGTATTCTTTCTGTTGGGCTCCCTGGTGGCAGGTTTATCCTCGATGGTACCTATACAGGTGAGGTCAGTGAAGCTCCCGACACCTCTACAGGTCCTTAGGAGAGCTAGGTACCTGCTTTTGCCTTGATATGGCTTATTTGCTAATGAAAGAAAAAAGCATCTTGATAACTTGACCTTAATCTAATAGAAGTTTAAAATAATCAAGCCAAGGATTCATATTATTTTGGACTTCCAAGTAGATTTTAACTGGATCATGCTGATGATGTTAACTAGAATTTATTAAGCACTTTTAGTAAGTGCCCTAAACTGAGATAGACATATTACATAGGCTATTTTGTGTTTTTTAAATACTGTCAATCCATGATTGCTAAAATACAAAAAGATGACATGAACTTTCCTCTTAATTCCAAGTATCAGACATGACCAATGTTAATGTTTTATCTATATACCTCTAGTAAGAACATGTAAGTTTATGTACACAAATACATGCTTTAAGTACATTGGCTCAATATTATACATATTACTCAGTAATCTATTTTTCACTTAATATATCATGTATATGTTTTCATGTCAAATACATAAAGATCTCTCTTACCCTTTTTAACATTGTATAGTATTTTATTATATGTACCATAATTTATTTAACCAATCTCCTCTGGTAGACTTTTAGATTCTTTCTAGTTTAGGGCCATTACAAATAGTCCTTTGGTAGATCCCCCTGACATTTTTTCACACTTGCATTATTATTTCCTTAGGCTAAACTTCTAGAAGCAGAATGTTGGTTTGAAAGGTATTGCTAATTGTTCTTTAAAAAGACTGTTTCCAGGGGAGGGTATAGCTCAGAGGCATGCACGAGGTCCTGGGTTCAATCCCCAGTACTCTCATTAAACAATGACTAAATAAACCTAATTACCTTCCCCTGCCAAAAACAAAAAAAAAAGAATGTTAAAAAAAAAAAGACTGATTCAGCTTGCACAGCATTACCATTTGAAAGTGCTCGTTCCCCCCAAACCTTGCCAATACTGGCATTTTCTTTCCCTGTCTTTAGATATTATTTCTCAGTTTTGCAATAATCCTGTAATTAGATGTTCATCTCAGAGATTAAATAAACAAAACAAAATCCCCAAAACCCCTGAGACTTCAGGAAGAAACTTGCCCGAGACCACAGAGCTTGTGAATAATGGGGCTGGGGTTTCAGCCAGCCCTTTATGTCTTCAAAACTGGAGATTCTCCACCTCCTTGGGGCTAATCAAGTCATTTTTTATTTAATAAAGTTTGCTTTAGGCTCATCTACATTTGCTAAGCCCACTGTCCCCTGTCTTGCCATTGACATTTTATTTTATGATCTTCCAGTATCACTGCACTAAAAACATGGCCACCTGTTCTGTAAGTGGCGAACCCACAAAAGCTTTCCCTTCTCTGAGTCTCTAAGGCTGTTGTCCACAATTTCAGCACGTGCAGGAAGGCTATTGATACTGTTGGATAATAAGGTTATTAGATTCTTCCTATCACCAGTCACCTGGTCTTTACCTAGAGAAGGGCAAGTTTCCTATTTAAACTTTTTCTACATAACCCCTGTTTAGCATGGGGACTTGTATTGTCTTATCAGTTAGGTTTTTCAGTGTGTGCTTGGAAGCTTGGGGCTGAGTATTGCTGGGGAAAGAAGAGACAGAAGGGGGAAGAAAATAGGGAAAGAGAACAGCTCTGACATAAAGAAACCCAGCCAGCATGGGAGCATGTTTAGTTCTCCTGTTTTATAAATAATTTCTCTCTCATCCCCCTAGGAGAACCAGTGAAGACATCCATTCAGGAATCAGAAGCATTTTTGCCTCAGGTACAGAAGAAATGATCTGACTTGGTATTGTATTGGAAGCACAGTATCTGTGGAGAACACTGACGACTTTAAAAATATCTGTCCTTTAAGAATTCTTTGTGACAGCGATAGGATGCTGAGTGCTATTCTGAGAACTCTTCTGCCCTAAAGGGGAACCTTGAAGTAGCAAAGAGAAAGGTGCTGAAGTGGATTGCATTAGCAGACTTTAGAATGCAGGAAAATTCCAAAGTGGCATGTCTCTCTTCAGCTGAGTGACTGCTGAACATATAAGTAAGCAGTGACACTGAACCTTGACTTGTTCTGACCTTTTCTTATGCTGATACCTCCTCTTCATAACGAGAAGCAATAGAAGGCCTCCTTCTGTACTGGTTTGGAAAGTTATCACTTGTACAACTTCAGGTTACTGTGGAAACACAACCCATCTTTTCTCTGTGTTTTAAATTATCTTTATCCCACAAAGCTAAGACACGTGTAAAGAGACTGCAGTTTTCATTAAAATTAAATCAAAGCTGAAATAGCTTGTTGATATTGAAGGGAAATGTCAGCTCTGCTGACTTCAGCCTGTGTCTACTGAGTGACTCACCTGCCAAAGGGAGATTTGAGGAAATCCAGAAGAAAAGATGGTATGGGTGAGACCTTGAGGAAACGGAACAACATTTCGAGTCTTTAACAATCCCTGCTTTCCTTTCCAGCACACACCGGAAGAGAGGTACAGGATGCAGAGCAAGCCCCTAGGAATCTGCCTGATAATTGATTGCGTTGGCAATGACACAGGTAGGTCTCGATGCTGCCAATTAACTGATGCCGCCACAGTGAGATCATGGCCCGTGCAAGCTGTGTGCATCAGAGTGATCAACACTAGCCACCGTGACAAACCACTGCCAAAATGTGGTTTCAGACGGGAGGGGTAGTTTCTCTTGTCACAGTCTAGTGTGGACCAGGCTGGGGAGCGTTGTTCCATGTGCTCATTCAGTGGCTGCATCAGCAAAGGCCTTGGAGTTTTCTGCAGGATCCCCTGGACCTGGCTGGTGGATGAAGGAAGGATCTCATGAGAGATTTAGGGGTCAGGCCTGACTGAAAGTGATACACATCAGTTCCACCCCCATTCCTTTAGTCAGAACTTACGTGTGGGGCCGCATCCAACCGCAGTAGACAAGAACTTAGTCTAGCTGTGTGTCAGGAGGAATGTGAAAGGGGATTTGGGGAACACATGGTATTGTCTCTGGCTCGGAGGCATTCCTTGTGAAAGCTGGTGAGCTTTAGTCTTGTCTGTGCAGGCTGGCTGCTGTGGCAGGGAGGAACCCTGGGATCCAAAGGGGGTTTGAAAATGGAAGGTGTTCTGGGCTTCAGTATTTTCACAGTCTTTGGATAAAAGATGCCCCATCATTTCACCTAGATAGACTTTGAAAGCTTTTTCTGGGGAATATTAAAAATAGGATAAATATGTGTTCACTTAGAGGCAATGTGTCCCTCAGTTTTGCTACCCTGGAATTTGGTTATTGACCTGAGTCTGTACCACCTATGTGTCACCATTGTTTGGATCTGAGTTGACTTTTTTTTAATTGAAGTGCAGTCGGTTTACAATGTTGTGTTAATTAATTAATTAATTTTGCTTTGAACATGTTTCTCTTTTAATCTTCATAGTAACACTCTTATCCCCATGAATAAAGGAAGCTGGAAAGTTCATAAGTGACTTGCCCAAGGTCTCTCAGCTGGAGGCCAGTGTTGTGTTAATTTCTGATTTTTTTTTTCCTCCCCCATAAGGGAGGCACTGGGGATTGAACCCAGGACCTTGTGCACGCCAAGCACATGCTGTACCACTGAGCTATCCCCCCGCCCCCGAACTGATTCTTTTGCTCACTTGTAGTTGGATGTCTGGCTCAGACTGAATCAATCACTGGGGATGCGTTAAAAGAGAATGAGAAGAGCCTTGATAAAGTGCAAAAGCATTCACTTTAATTATTTATCTCTTTCTTGAAAGGATTGATCATTCTATTTCCACAGTTTTCCAGCTTCTCAACATTCTCTTAGAATGAGTCAGAGTTGTCTTTTAGGCTCACTTAAAATGTTACCATGGTGAGTTTTACGGGAAGAGACTGTAAGAGAAGGTCAGATTAGGAAACATGAGGCTGAATTTCCCAGGATTTCAGCTATGAGCTCACTTTCTCATGTCCTATATTTGGTTAAATGTAAGAAATGCTGTCTCCTCAGCTATCAATGTGTCCTTTATTTACTTTTTAAAAAAACTGAGCTGTAGTTCATGTATAAGATGTCCTTTCTGTTTTAGCTGTTAGTATCCATATAAGAATGAGGAAATATTTTTTCAGTGAGTAACTTCCTGCTTTAAAGGCGGTTTTATCATTGTCCTCCTCTTTTGGCTGTAATCAGTTCTGTTTCATTAATTGGCAGAAAGTTCCCAACTGGCCTTGGTGCAGGCTGTGTGTCTGTTACATGAAGAGAATGACAAAGATAAAGCCGTGACTTCCTGTGAATTTGTGGCTGAAAGCCAGGATCTGAGCTCACTTCCCTTGCTGAGTTACGGGCCTCTCGCCGGTGGGCACTCAATGTGTATGTGTATTTTTCTGCATCATAGGATCATGAGCAGAGTTGGGTCCTGGAACATGACCGTGTGGGTTTGAATCATGGCTTTGCCGTGTGGTAGCTTGTTACCCAGGCAGTTTTTCTAGCCTCTCTGAAGCTCAGTTTCTCTTCTGTAAAATGAGTTAGTAACAGGACCCACCTCGTAGGAAGGTTGGGAGGAGGGAGTGAGTTCTTATTTGTCAAAAGCTTAGGGCAGCGCCTGGCACTCACACTGTAAGCACATTTGTCCATTTTGCTTAATTTTAGGTGCAACCACTAAGCTAGCACTTGCGTTGGCTTTGTGCTTGGTACATGGAACCTGACCGCAAAGAAGTGAGGGGCCAGAGAATTGGGGTCTGGAGGCCTGCTCTGGCTCAGGGGTGGGGACAGGTCCCCACAGTCTGGGACTAACTGGAATAGAGGGGACAACCCCAAAGGGGTAACTTCTGGGGACACACCTAGGTAGGAAGCTGGGCAGACCACTCCTACCAGTCATCATGGACAGTGGGTGTGACAGAGAAGGAGAATCTGGGTACAAAGGCCAGGGTGAGGGAGGGCAGGGAGTGGCAAGATGAGATGAGAGAAAAATATGGGAAGGAGGGTGGAGTGGGAGTTGGAGCCTCTTTGATCTGAGGTATGAGCAGGTATTGGCCTCAGGTGCATCTGTCTAGCTGCTTCCTTGTCTCAAGCTCTCCCTGCGTCTGGGAACAAAACAAATAACTGGGTTTGAGGCCGCTTACACAATTCCCTCAGGGACAGGTGGCCAATGGACAGGGAAGAAACCCAATAGCACACTTTACTCCTGTTGTGTTGGGGCTTCTATCACCTGAGGGGTCCTCAATCCATTTACATGCCCAGATGAGACTCTGAGCAGCAGAAAACTATTGATTAATGTGGAGAGGAAGACAGTTTCTTCTCACACTCCCTCCCCAGGCGTCCAGCTCTTCATTCTCCACCCCCAGCCCCTCCCTCGGACTTTTCCCTGAGGATTCGAGGCCAGGAATCCTGCTGGACTTGACAGTAGTCTCGGTTACGTGCAGCACTTTTCATTTCTTCGTTTTCATCCTAACAACCCGGGAGCTTCGCCTAGATGATGCTGTGGGGTTTCCTTTGTCTCTTGCTTAGTTAACCTTCTCTCTTGGTTAACGCTGAACATTTGGCAGGAGTGTGGCCATCTGGTAATAAACATTATTACCAGAGACAAGGGCTCGGAAAGAAACTAACAATAATATGAAAAGACTAACTTGAGGGTGGTAGTAATCAGGGTGTAAAATTTACTTAAACTCTACTATCTAATCTATTAAATCCATATCTACTATCTAATCTATAAAAACCTACTGTTCAGTCTAATGTGCCAGGTGCTTTGCTAATTCCCTTACATGGATTCTTACTTAATCTCCATAAATAATACTGTAAGAAAGGTACTATTATCCCCACTTTCAAGGTGAGGGAGCAGAGCACAGTAAACCCCCCTCCTAACTGAACTGATAGTAACTGAGAGCTGGGACTTGAAGGCTTGACTCCGGAGCCTCTGCTTTTAGCTACTTTGCTATCACATAAATTCCATGTCTCTAGAACCTGGAACAGTGCCTGGCACTTGGGAGCTCAGTAAAATGTTTGTTGAGTGAATGAATAAGCTCTGTTGGTCTCAGTGTGTTGTTAAAACCATTCCTTTGTATCTGTAGAATTTAGCCGACTCTCTTACACCTATCTTTTCCTGGATAAAAATCAGACTTTTATCCAAAGACTGTGCAAGTTCCTCAGACCTTTATAGGTCAACTTTTCCTTTATCCTGTGTTTACTGAGCACCTACTATGAGCAAAGTATCAAGCTTGGTCCTGTGTGAACTAGATCTGGAGACTGTGAGGTAGAATTTGGTCTCAGCCACATTGTGAACAAAGATAAGATTGTTGTTGGGTGGCTCATTCTTGAGAAGAATCCTTATAGAGGGCAGTAACCTCTTGGAGCAGATATGGAGGCTTAAGGATTTGGGGCTAACTATCTCAGTTCAGTTGAACTGAAAAGTTAGTCCTCGGTGTTGTGTCATCGGTGTCAGTGACCCAGCAGAGCTTGGCCTGTGTGAGGCCCTGCTTCGTGGTGCCCTGATGTGGTGCTTCTGATCTTGTTAGGAACTCAGATGTGAATGTCCCACATCATAGACATGTGGCTCTGGACTTTGACCTAGGGCTCTGGCTGGGTTTTAGGCTGCCGAATGAAAGACGGTGTTTGCAGATTTTAAGCGGACATGTTTCTTCCTGTCTCTTTTCTCTCCTGCTTTTTCTGAAAAATTTGAAGATTTTTCTGTGCTTTTTAACCAGGCTAAGACTTAGATTCTTCTACCAGCTGCTGCCCATTTCCCTCGGAAGTCTTGCGTAAGTAAACTTCCTCTTCCAGAAGAGCAACAGGAGTTGTGAAAGCCCCAAGTCGATGGTGGAGAGCTTTGCAGTGGTGTTGACTTGAGCTTGGCTGCATCTTGGGGTCACCCAGCTTCCTTTCCCCCCTTTCCCTTAGTGGAACGGGCAACAACCCAAGTCAGCCGCATTTTCCTGTACTAATAAAATGTAGGAAAATCTCAGCAAGGGGAATCAGAGCAGCTACTGTGGCCTCTGCTCCTGAGCTATGAAGACACATGGCAAGTGACATCTGAGATAATAGATGGTGGCTTCATTCACACGGAGTGGTCACTGCTGCCCGCCAGCTTGAGTGCCGAGGAAGCGTAGCCTCCTGTCCTCACTCCCGTGACATTAGGGGACTATTGAAGACAGCTTCCCTGGGGAAAAGAGACCAGGAAGTCTGTGGTGGGGCACTTTTTATTTTCCTGGGCTTTCTTGTCCTCTGAGACTAAGCAGCCACTCAGTTGGAAACCTAGCATCACTAATGAAATTTCCCTTTAAATCAGTGCTACATAGCAAACCCTTGTTTCATAGACAACATGAACCTAGGCTATAAAAAGGAACTGTAGGTCCACAATTCCTTATTGGAGACCCTTGCATTTCAAAATTAAGAAGTTTTAAGAGTTTAGAAAGATGACATGGTATTCGTTGATAAAGGGACCCCCAAATTGGAAAGCACACCAAGTGAGTGGGCAAGCCCCACCCCACCCCCAATGTGTGGGTCCTTGCCTGCCAACTGAGAAAGAATTCTCAATAGAGGCAGAGGAGAGGGACAAAGTGAAGAAAAAGAGCTGCTTTTAT